CACACACACACACACAAACACACGCACACACACATCATAGGCCTAATAGTATTTAGATAGAATCTTTGCCTGTGATTGGTTTGATGTTCCAATAATTCACCAATAATGCATATTAATTAATATTATTTATGCGATCACTAGGCCCTAATTCTTTCTGTGTTTGCCTGAAATTATGAAACATGAACTGAGAAGCGATAGTACTAGCAAGAGACGCGTAAGTAAAGCGTAGAAATTTATTTGCCGAACGCGACATGCACTCTTCGACTCCGCCTCTAAGCCTCAAGACGAACTCGGGCTGAGATGGATATATAGGCCTACAATTACTACAAAGGAGCTTAGAACTTTTAATCTCATTGGCCTACACGAATCGAACTCGGGTCCCCTGTGTGCCACCGCGAAGCCTCTAACCGCTACACCAAAGAACCGATAGCGGAAATGTCAATCAGCTACATTTGCCTTTAAAGCAATTTATGGTTGATTATTTCTTACTTTGTAGTAAAATTATATTTGATAAACAGTTTTAAATGTATGAGTATGAATATTAGATCTAATGCTCCAGAAAGTCCACTGTTTCCGGCCTTTCATTTGTCTCGTGCCGTAGGCCAAGTCGATTTTTTTTTTTCGTTTTGTGGAAGTTAGGCTACTCAAATCAAATATTTATATTCGTGTTTCAGGCGTGTCAGCTTTCATTCTGAGAGAATGGAAATGACATATTCTTTTCAGGGAAAGAACTGTTCTGCATTATTTCTATTTCGCTTCAGTTTCTCTTGCTCCCCCAGTAATATTGTTTTTGAACAAGCTTGCTGTGTGTATCCCTCAAAAAGTGAAACTCCGGGAAGTTCTCACTCTTAAACAAAACTCAAAATTATTTATTTTTTTAAAAGTAAAAAGATAGAATCTAGATCTAGAGTGTAGATCTATTTAGATCTAGAATCTAGATCTAGGGCCCACATGTATGTAACACTCATGATGGTTAGGCCTAGCCTTGCCCTTGCCTCGACTCTTCGTGTTTACGGTTACTTTCGGTAATAGACCTACACATTCGGTGAACTGTGCTAACAGGGTACATAACTGTCATTGCCTGGCCAAATAAAGCGGATGCGGCAATCTTCTTATTGAAAGCAAGCCGCAAAGCCAGTGTTTTTATCCAGCTCTGTGTTTATGATGGTTCACAAACCATTGTCTACTTTAGATCTGCTTCGTCGTATGTCTAACCAAGGATAAGGCTGTAAAGAAAACAAAAACAAAATGGAACTTGTGTATTCTATAGACTTTCATGCTTTTTCTAAAGCAAGCGAATTTGTGTTTGATGAGAAAATATGCTGCACTTTGTCATGTCGAAACATTATCGCGTTCAGTCGTGCAAGGAGAGCTGAAAATGAAAGGTAATGTACCCCACCCAATGAAGGTATTATTTATATTCTATCAATTACAATAGAATGAATAATGTGATGGTGTGATTTTTCAATTTTTTGAATTCAGATTGTCTGAAGACAAGTGGCTATTCTCACCCGCCCGGAAGTTCTCGCAAGATCTACTCCTCCCCTCTTCTCTCTCTCTGTGTCTCTTTCTGAATACTGTCTATCGGTGTGGACGATCAAATTGACCAAAACAAAGTTAAAAAATGATGTTAAAACACAAAAGTAAATTAATTTGGTTGTCTACAAAGATGCTACGGCTATTTAACTTTTCGAATCGAGCCGAACTACGCGGGTCGCCATATTGTTTTGTTCTCTCTCTTTCTCTCTCTCACTCTCTCTCTCCACTGCCCACAGACAAAATTGTACGCTTTTAGTAGGCTACAAGTACAGTTGTAATGGAACGTTTGTTCACAGCACAGAATTCTACAATTTTTCTGTTATCACAGTGTAGAATTCTGTGGTTTAGGGTGAACGCAAAATTTGTTGGCCTAGATCTAGACTCTAGTCAGTCTAGGCTATAACGGTAAACGCGCACCGGGTGAGAATAGCCAAAAGACTCGCCTGCACTATTCTCACCCCGGGTGAGAATAGAGGTGGCCCTGAAGGTCAGTTATGGAGTCAAATCATCTGTACTGTTCTCATATGTCCATGGTACGTCGTTGTCTGTGTTAGTGTTGTAGCCTATCACCTGTGGGGTGCCCATTGTGGGATCAGGTCGGGTTGGCGCGGTTTGCTAGCCAGATTGAGGGCGCAAAGCGGCTATCGTGGCACAAGCCGATCATCACCTAAAAAACAAGCGCGTTTGTTTTCAGGTGATGAGTTGGGTGATTGTCCCGACCCAACCTGATCCCTTTCGCCTTTGCATAAATTGAGCACTCCGCTGTTAGCAAAAACAATCTCTCTTCATTTTGCTTGCCCAAAATTCTGCATCTTTCACTCATGTTACAATCACCAATCACATAAAACATTTTGTTATTGTCTATAATGCACAAGGAAATGATAGCAAACGATAAACATTGTTGTTGTTTAACTAGAGATATTGGAATGGCCACCTCTATTCTCACCCCGGGTGAGAATAGCGCAGGCGAGTTTTTTGGCTATTCTCACCCGGTGGGCGTTCACCGTTATAGCCTCGGCCAACCAGTGAAGCGTTCTCCCTGAACCACAGAATTCTACACTGTGATAACAGAATTATAGAATTCAGTGCTGTGAACAAACGTTCTGGATGTAGATCTATTACTACTGTTAGTGTTAGCCTAAAAGCGTGCAATTTTGTCTGTGGGCAGTGGAGAGAGAGAAAGAGAGAGAGAGAGGAGAAGCGCGAGAACTTCTGGGCAAAACAAAATGGCGACCCGCGTAGTTCGGCTCAATTCGGAAAGTTAAATAGCCGTAGCATCTTTGTAGACAGCCAAATTAATTTAGTTTTGTTTTTTAACATCATTTTTTAACTTTGTTTTGGTCAATTTGATCATCCACACCGATAGACAGTATTCAGAAAGAGAGAGAGAGAGGAGGAGTAGATCTTGTGAGAACTTCCGGAACAAAATGGCGACCCACGTAGTTCGGCTCGATCCGAAAAGTGAAATAGCCATAGCATCTTTGAAGACGATCAAATTAGCTAACTTTTGTGCTATAACGTAATTTTTTCTTGGCTTTTATCAAGTTGATCATCCACACCGATAGATAGTATTCCAAAATGAGGAAAAACAGGTCGTTTCACACCGGGTGAGAATAGCCTACGCTGGCAAGTCTCACACCGGGTGAGAGGTAGATCGTATTTTTATTCTCACCGCGGGTGAGAATAGCCACATGGAATCTAGATCTAGATCTAGACTATTCGGACTTATGTTAGGCTAGAAAACAGGTCTCATTTAATAGTAATTATTCAGGTTTAAAATACATGCTCTGTCATTAAGGCACCTGGTAGGCCTATTTTTTTGTTGTTGTGGTCAGTCTAGCCATCATATTAAAAATAAGTACGGCTAGACATAATATGGAATGGCCACCTCTATTCTCCCCCCGGGTGAGAATAACGCAGGCGAGTTTTTTGGCTATTCTCACCCGGTGGGCGTTCACTGTTATAGCCTCGGCCAACCAGTGAAGCATTCACCCTGAACCACAGAATTCTACATTGTGATAACAGAATTATAGAATTCTGTGCTGTGAACAAACGTTCTAGATCTAGACTTAAGTACGGCTAGCCTCTTCCGTTTTGATCCACTTACTAGATCTAGATCTAGATCGATCTAAACCACTGAATTCTACTATATGTGTAGAATTCTGTGATCTAAACTGGCCCTCCCGGGATCATTAGTTTGAACAGAACAACTAAGTTGAGTTGACCTTGCCAGTGGAAAAGTTGATTAGGTTGACCAATGAGATTGTGCGAAGCGATATCGCACTCTCGGCTTGCTGTGGGAAGAGGTGTTGGGAAGAGGCCACGGCTGTCCATTTTGTGCGATGTGATTTAAAAAAAAAAATTACAGAAAAATTTTTACTCAAGAAAATGAAATTAAACATGGGGAAAGACAAATGGTGGTGGAAGTTATGATGATGCTGTAGTGGTGGTGGAAAGACCCTGAGTTGTTGGTTACCGTTTACTTAGACACTGCCATTGGGTAGATCAAATGAGAGTGCAGTATTTTGACTTTTGACACAGTTACACAGTCCTTGTAGGCAATTCTAGTTCTAATTCTGGTTTTTCCTAAAATCCCCCGATGACAGTTATAAATATTGTTAGCCTCCTTACACTCACATAACTCACTTAAAAGCTGAGTCCGAATCGGACCCGAGTCCAAATAGATAAAACCAATAGTCGGACTCGAGTCCAAATAGATAAAAATTATATTCGAACTCATATTAAAAGGCCTACATATGTATCTTAATTTGTATCTTAAATTTATGTGTTCAGGATTTGAAAGCGATTATAATTATAAATGGTCTGGATGTTCTGTTTGCTGAAATTATGTGCCATGGAATTATCACCTCCAATTTTCCGTCGGCCTGTCGTGTAAAGATCCACTTCCATTACATTATTGTAACGGAAAAAATCATTGACATGGTTGCTATATTATATTATAATTATGGGGTTATAATGCCAAAATGTTTTGGACTATTAACGTCTAAAAAAGTAAAGTAGTGTATAGGCCTAGGCTTAGTAAACCTGCAGCAGAACTAAACTTGAACTGTCTGATTCTGATCTTGGGCTTAAGACTTTATAACCCAGCATGAGGAAGCTTTTTCTTTGTTTGCGCACTGGAACTCTTTCTCTCCTAACTATTTAGAGCAAATTAAAATGTAACATTTTTTACGTAACTTAAAATATTCTAAGGGCTTTTTTACCACTTTAGACCAGTGGAGCATCCCCAGGCATAGTGTAAGTGAGAAACTGACACACAGCTATTTTATTAGCCCCTCTTCATTGCCAGGGGGTGTGCAAATCTACTTTTGGGAATTTTGATTTTCAGTTCGTTAACCTGGAAGGCAGTCTCATGTCTCACTAACATGCTCTTAGCCATGAATTTCAGTTTTCTATCATGGTGTTGAACAGTGATAGTGTCACTTTTCTCACATGATTGTTCATTGATCTTTTTTTCTAACAAAAGGGCCTATCCAGTCCTATCTATAGCCATCTAATCCATAAAAAAATTTTTTTTTTAAATTTTCAAATTGAAGTCAAAAAGTGAAATTTTCTACCTTTTTAAAGTCAGTTTGGGGTTAACATTTGACGAGAGCAGGCGGTCTGCAAGACTAGACCTCTGTTTATCGTTTGCTTGCAGGTCTAGCTGTAACTAGTAAGCAAATTTGGTTCTGATAAGTGTGCATTTTATATTCCCAGAGACAAATCTACTGTGTGCTCACTTGTAGCTCTAAATTTCCATTCACAGAAGAATTAGGAGTTAAGAGCCAGATGGTTTGCATGACATACATCATGTAACATCATATAGAGACAACCAAGAATTGAATGACAGGTTTGACTGTGACATCAATGGAACAGCTCAAAGCTTTAAATTACAGTCCACTCCACTTGTAGTGAAGTCGGTGGTAAAGGTCTTCGGACATAACGATTTTTTTCTGTGGAACGGGCACCGATGTAACACAAACTCTCAATAAAATTGAAATGGTTGTACCGAATTCACTACATCCGTCGTGACGGCTGTAGTGATGCCTATTCTTATCCCCGGCCCATATATAGTCTATTAAAAAAATATAACTGTTTTTACGATGTTTCCCCTGTGGTTAGTTTTGACCTAGCATTGATGAACCTGATGTTTTGTAACGTTACGCACATTCACACAATAGTATGAGGCATCAGACACTAAGCAGGCAATATCCCACATGATACTACATGTATTGATGACCGTACATGATAAGCACTGAAGCTCAATATTAACCGTATAGTGAAGTTGAGTATTGGGATTATTTCCCTTGAATTTTTCTTCCAACGGCTGTTGCAAACTTCAGATGTAGCTATCTTTTTTCTGGTCCCCCAACGACATGGCTACAAGCGTAGTCGACTTTACGTGTTTTCGTGTGAAGTACCAGATATAATGCCAAAAGGCATCATGGGTTTTTTAAGTTAAAAGCTTAGTTGAACCGAACAATATAGATAGCAGTTTCATGCAGACTGCTCAAAAGGAAAGACTGTTTTTGTACATCATTAGTTCTACCATGCCTACTTCATTTCCATGATGAACAAAAAGTATTTAATACGCAAAATTATAAGGGTAGTGCTGTAAAAGTGTTGTGAATCCAGCTTTCTGTTACTCAGGAGGTGCATGCATGATGTTTAGAAAATATGTGTGAATAAAAACTTGTCTGTCTGATTTGTAAGATTAAATTAAAATTAGATTTTCAAATAATGTTATATTATGGTAAAATCCTTCCAAAATCCTTCCAGCTTGTAAAAAAGCTTTGCATGTCCTGTATATTGCTTTACTTTATAGTGCCATCAGCTTATTGTTACTTGTACATCAAGTGTGATTAATTATTCATTTTGTTGTCCTGACTGTGTGCACATACATTCATTATAGATTGTGAAGCGCATAGAGCTTGCTGTTGAGCGGGGATTTGCACTATACAAATGCTATCTATTATTAAATGGCATTTTTTTGATGATCTGACAATTACAGATGAAATATCGCATTGACATCTGAATGTACTGTTGTACAGTTATATTGTAGGTAGCTGTAGTGATGGTAAATTGCTGACACTGTGCTATTATTGTATAAATGCTGTGAGCAATTTTATTGGGCACTACTGAGGAACTACTTTTGTTGCTCCGGCAGGTGAAGGCACTTGGTATAAACTTATCCAGGAATAATTAGAAACTATTGATTTATAACTGAGTAATTGTAGATGATTTAGAAAATGAGAATTGAAGTGGAAGACTGAGCAACTTTATCAGGTGCTAAGTAACTCTACTTCTATTGCTTTAGCAGGTATAGGCACTTGTCCTGGAATAATTATAAACCATTGATTTATAATAGAGTAATTGCAGATGATTTATAAAATGAAAATTGAAGTAGAAGAAAATTGGGTTCTCAAGCGGATTTCAAGAGGCAATACTCAAATCCTGTTGATCGACATCCTTCTACATGCCCTTCATGGGCAATCCTAATATGTTTATTTTTAACAAACTGAATGGAACAGACACTTGAAACAACTAGAAACCAATTAACGATTGACTGATAGTGTTCGGCAGTGTTCACATGTGTTTTTACACTTTCGGTGTAAGTATGCTTACACAGTAGTATAGATTTTGTCATGGGCTAGTTCACCCTTCTCCTTCTCTCCCCCTCCCCTCCTCCCTAGACCTACTCTCATCTTCTATCCCCATTTCCCTCTCCCACGGTAAATTTACTTCATGTAAAAAAATGCGGGGAGTGCCTTGCAAAACAATAAACAAAAGATAGAAAGAGGTTGTGAAAGTTGTTTTTTTTCCACACTGCCTTGAACTACAACTGCCTTGAACTACACACGCACGCACACACACACACACACACACACACACACACACACACACACACACACACACACACACACACTCATACACACTCACATACGCACACTTCTTTTATCATGCCTAATTAAAATTTGCAACTTTACTGTTTTCAATTTCCCAGCTGTAAGGAGGCCTCTCTGTTTTCACAATGTAACCGTGGTAAAGCAAGATATATTTTATAGTCACACTTTCTTTCCTTCAGCTCAAACTGGGCTCTAAAGTTGATTTTGGTTTTACAAATGGCTTTTGAGAGTGAAAATTATAGAGATAAAATTGTGTTTGCTTGGTTAAAACAGGTTCTTAGGTGGACTAGGTACTTGCACTGCATGTTCTTAGGTGAAGATCTCTGCCTGTATCTTTTTGGTATTTGTCTTTTTTGTCTCACTTCATGGGGGAATCTTTCATGTATAGTTGAAACTGTTGAAGTTTAAAAAAATATTTCAGACTTTCATTGTTGACCCTTTATTATATTTTAGAACTTAAATTATGGCTGTAGCAGGGACATCTTTCTTTTAGTTAATTTCATGTTCATTGAAAGTGAAAGGGTTTCTGATTCTATATTGAAGTCAATACATCTGGGATTTTTGTTAGTGAAACACAGATGTTAGAAGTAGAAGTCAAATTACAATGTTCACAGTACCTTTTAATCCTTTTATGTTCTGAATTCACTGGACTTAAAGACTAATACATCGTGTGTTGGAATGGCGAAGACAAAGGTTTAGTTTAACCCAGACCTTTTAGCCTTTCTGCTTTTAAAGTATTTTGAGGAAAAAACTGGCATTAACAGCTGTGAAGAAGTTTCTGCTATTCCTGTTTTGTCTACAAATGCGTGGGTGTCATGACGAAAATAAATAGGCTGAGCTCTTCGCCAATGAGAAAAAAGGGTGAATTGGAGAATTGGAGTTAACCCTTAAAATGACCAGGAATCTGAGAAAATTTACACAATTTCCTCATGTTTTGGAGGATGGTGCTCCCCTTACATTTTCTCCAAATAAAATTAATAAATGGCTTGGCTGTGGGCTCTTGGTAGAGAATTTCAGTGTGAAAGTGTTAAAAGCAAGGTTTGCGAAATGGACACCACGTTGCACTTTATCTGTTGAAATTTAAAAGACAGTGGTGGTAAAATACACAACAGAATCATCAGAAACCAGACACCCTGATGAAGAATTGTTTTTGTTGGAAATCTGATTTGATTATCTCTCTGGGGACCTCATTGAGCTGTCAGTTGGGGGGAGAAACCCGAGCTCCTCTTTTTTGCCCTCTGTGGTGATCTTGATCTGATACTGAAGTGTTGGGGGCTGAGATATGCGCTCTAGATCAACATCACTTTGGAGCTGAAGGGTACGCACTTTATTGTGAACCGAGTGAGAGAAAAAAAAGGCGATCCTGTTGGCATGGAATTTTGGGAATTTGTATTTATAGTGTCTGTATCTTTTTTCTATATTTTTAGAGGCAGTTTTTAATTCAAACAGTTGTATTTTTTTTTTTTAGTGGTTGGCAGGTATTTATCAATAAAGCTAATTTTGTCATGTGCTGCTGTTATTCTATGCTGTATATAGCTTTGCTTACATTTTACTGGGTTGTTTACGACTTTGATTGTGCTGATCCTCACCTGTTTAATAGCTCAGTTCTCTATGTTATGCTCTTTATCTTCCAGTGGGGTGACGACCTCTGAAGGATGAATCCTTATGTATAATTTATTGATGTAAAACTGTTTATGTATATATTCATCCCGTAGCATATGCACACACACACACACACACACACACTCACACACACACACACACACACACACACACACACACACACACACACACACACTCACACACACTCACACTCACACACACACATACACACACATAGACACATAGTGCACAATTGTACTCAAATGCACGCATGAAAAGTTTCAAACTTCAGCAAGATCTCGTAGTCATGCGCATGAAACTTTTTATTTGGGCCAAGTTCTTCAATGATGATGTTTTCTATTTGTAATTTTCTTAAACTCATAGCGTAGAAAAGTCATAAGGATGTGCCTTGCAATGTTATGTGCAAATGTCAAATGAAGTATTGTTATTAAAGAAGAAGAAAAGGGCACATTGAGATGGTAATTGTATGAAATCTTATAATGTGCCTCATGAGAATTTCTGTTGTTTCCTTGACGCTTCATTTCAAAGTTAATTTTGCTAGCTGTGTCTCCCCAAATTTTGTTGACTGTTGCCTTTTCTTCTCCCCTTAGACGCCACAGCGGTCATTTTACCCGTGGACTTCTTTTCATGTTCTTTAACCTTCATTAGAGTAGCTGCAAAGTTGAAACATTTGGGTTAAAAACTGAAAGGTAGCTATACCTACTGCTTGAACAAATCGCAAACCCCCCCATTATTTTAGCTTGTATCTGATGGAGAGACAATGATCGTTTCTACTGTCATTGCTGGTGTTGCCTTGATTTATTTTTTCTCAAGACCTCTTTTTTATCCATGTGTTACTGCTATGCACATACAATATATTTCACCGTCGGTTACTTATGAAATATCTATGTGAAATAAATGAAATAAAAAAGTTACACTTTATTGATCCCAGCGGGGAAATTTGGGGTTACAATAGCAAACAAGCGCATACACCCACTTGCACACACACACACACACACACACACACACACACACACACACACACACACATACATACACATACCAAACACATGCACAACATAACACACATACACGAGTGAGAGAGAGAGAGAGAGACAGAGAGAGAAAGAGAGAGAGAGAGAGAATTTTACAGCCTTCATCCCAGAGAGAGAGAGAGAGAGAGACAGACAGACAGACAACAGGCAGACAGACAGACAGACAAAACGAGTGTGGTTGGCGGGTGCTCTGGTGGGGTTTGCTCCTTCTTTCCTATCAAGCATCTATCGTCCTGATCTACCCTCCTTCTTTTTGTGTTTGTTGCTCTCTTGTAACACCTCTAATCTTCGGCACTTATATGACCTTATTGTGTTGCAAGTGACGTAAAACTCTTTCTAAAACTAAAAGACAAAATGTCATCACCAATACAGACAATTTCACCCCCATCCTCCCTCCGTTGCAGGGACAAGCTGGACATCAGCTACGAGGTGTGCGTGGTGGACCTGGACAAGCCGTGGCAGGAGTACAGGGTCATGATGTCACACACGGCGGTCACTTACATGAGGTGGGACCCGGCCGGCACCACGCTGCTCATCGTCAACGCGGAGGGATGCTTCAGTCTCTGGAGGATGAAGGTCGGTGGTGCATCATTCATAATCAGAACGACATTGATTGAAGTATGTGTGTGGTTGGTGGGTGCTGTGCTGTGGTTTGCCTCTTCAAACCTATCAAACATATATCATCCTTTTCCCTTCTCTTTTTTGTGTGTTTGTTACTCTCTTGTAATACCTCTAATCTTCGGCACTTATATGACCTTATTGTGTTGCAAGTGCCGTAAAACTCTTACTAAAATTAAAACAACAAGAAACATTTGTCATCCTTTTCCCTCCTCTTTTTTGTGCGTTTGTTACTCTCTTGTAATACCTCTAATATTGTGCACTTGAATATAATATGACCTTGCCTAATAATAAATTGTGTTGTATGTTCTGTGTAGCTCTTACTAAAAACTAAATTAAAATTCTTCCTCCTCTTAAAAACTACAGGTCATCCTGAATTGCATTTGGGAGCTACAGTTAAACCTGTTCTAACCTGTCCGAGATAATCACATGTACAAATGACTATGACTATGACCCTTTCCGTCTTCCATCCTGTGTTTTTTCTTTTTCATTATGACACTGTGCAAGACGTTCACCTGTCTAAGACGACCACTGTTCTCCTTGGCAGCGGTGTGTGGCTGTCTTTGATAATTTCAACTGTAGTTATTAAGACTTTCACTCTTTGCAACAACATGGCGTGGGCAGAATGACATGGGCTCACTACTGCTGCTTGAATAGTGACAGTGGCAAAAACAACCTATTAATGCCTATTTATGCTGCAAAACTAGGCTGGGTGGTGTTAAAAAGGTCCTCCCAAAGATTAGCCAACAACAGAAGCCTTCCACGCAGCCCTTTACCAAAAAATTGCCCCCCCCCCCCCTGACATCTAATGATACAAGAGGAAGGATAAAGTAAAGCAAAATTAAGTTATGCTGCACATATAAACTCAGACCAATGCATAAAAGTTTAAGTGGTTTACCATTTCTAAATGTCAACATGTGCATTTTGTGTGGGGTACATGCTACAGGGGTTAAACTGTAACTGTGGTTGTTTGGCGAGTGCTCTGGTGTCATTTGCTTCTTCTTTCCTATCAAGCATCTATCGTCCTTATCTCCCCTTCTTCTTTTTTATGTTTGTTGCTCTCTTGTAACACCTCTAGTCTTCTGGCGCTCGTATGACCTTATGCAGTTGCGAGCGCCGTAAAACTCTTACTAAAACTAAAACTAAAACATCAGCATGTGCATTTTGTGTGGGGTGCGTGCTACAGGGGTCATACTGTAACTGCCACTTCTTTGTTGTTGATCCAGGATCACTTACTGAATGTTTGGGAGGAGGTAGGATCTGTGGAGATGGACAAAGAAGAGATCTTGGTTCTAGCTTGGCTTCACAATGGAATTCAGGTTTGTTTATTTATTTCTTTGGTGTGGGTGTGAGTGAGTGAGTGAAAGAGAGAGAGAGTGAGAGAGAGAGAGAGAATGAGAGAGGGGAGAGAAAGAGATTATAAGAGAGAGATTTTGAGAGAGAGAATGAGATAAAGAGAATTGTGAGTAAAACAGTGTTGTTGATGTTGGTACATGTGTTTAGTGTCATGCTTATGCTTGTGCTTAGGTTTGAGTGTATGTGAAATGGTGCTGATACATCCATTTCTGTGTGTGATTATTTTTTGGGTGTTTGTAAGGCAGCTTCATTTCATAACAATTGGAACTATCAGTATTGGAGGCAGGACAATTACTAACTTGCGTTTTGCCGATGGCATCGATGAATTAGCAGGAAAAGAACAGGAGCTCGCCACACTAGTGGAGCGGCTGGACACAACCTCAGCAGCCTATGGCATGGAGATCAGTGCTGAGAAAACCAAGCTAATGACCAATAACACCAATGGCATCAATGCGGACATCAAAGTCAGGGGCGAGAAACTTGAGACCGTCAACAGCTTCAAATACCTCGGATCTATCGTCTCAGATGAAGGCTCAAGACCAGAAATTCTCTCCAGAATCGTGCAAACAACAACTGCGCTGTCAAAACTGAAGCCTATTTGGATGGACAGAAACATCACGCACAGCTAAAAAATTAGACTAATGCGCTCACTGGTCATCTCAATATTTTTATACGCCTGCGAGTCGTGGACACTAACAGCAGAATTAGAGAAAAAGATTCAGATCACAGAGATGAGATGTTACCGCAGACTCCTTGACATCTCGTACAAAGACCACGTTTCAAATGCCGAAATACGAAAGAGAATCACCAACACAGGGAGACATTATGAAGATCTACTGACCACAGTAAAAATACGAAAAATAAAATGGTATCGGCATGTCACAAGATCCACAGGACTTGCCAAAACAATCCTGCAAGGAACCGTACAAGGAAAGAGAAAGAGAGGAAGGCAGAGAAGGAGATGGGAGGAAAACATTAAAGAGTGGACAGGAAAGACGATGGGTGACAATCTGAGGAGAGCGGAGGACAAAAATAGATGGCGAGAGCTGGTTTTCCAATGCAGTGGTGCCCCAACTGTTGCCCCAACCACGGGATAGAAGAAGAAGAAGAAGAAAAGGCATGATGAGTTGTGTTCGAACACATTGCAACAAATAAGACTTATGTCTACTCTTACTCTCTGTTATTTATACCTTTTTTCTGCATTTTGAAATTATCAGACCCTGAAAGTCCTTTTCATAAAATAATCCTGCTGATTGTGCTTGAATTTAAATACATGGGAAGTATTGTGTTCAATGTTAAAAATGCATTTAAGGCCAATTTAAAAAATCGCATTTTACTATGCTCTATACATTACTCTTTGTAAATTTGTGCTAAAGGATTTGCTTTTGCTTCACTTAATTACTAAAAGGCAGACTGGTTTCTTTTCAGACTTTGTTCAATCCAGAGGCAAGAGATTTAATTGTGTACAACGAGAAGTTTTCTTTGGCCAAGATGTACCCATCTGTCACTCAGTTTGGAAAGAAACCAGTTGACGGTTGGATAGCTGTCACTTCAACTGGCATGGTAGGTGACATCTGTTAGTTTTTTGTCTGACAGTCATCTTTTTTGGGGTGAGAGGGGGTTTATAATAAGTGTGTGATTTATGTTTAACTTTTAAAATCAGATGTGTGCTTTCAGCCTTGTCTTTTTTTAAAACAATTTTTTTTTGTCTTTTGAGAACTCTTCTTTATTAAAGAGAATAGAATTTTAAAATGTTATATTTATTATATTTTTTGGTTTAGATCACACTTCTCACTGTTTCCATCTCTGTTGGTGCTAATGATGTCAGTGTCAGGCAAACATTCTGGATGGCATCAGAATGATATTTAAGTATTTGAAAGCCCTTTCATTTTCATCATCAAATCCAAGTTCCCTTTTAAAATGCTAAAAAAAATATTCCTTTTTGACATCTTTGAGCCCATCAGTAACGACACCATACATTTTTAAGTGTAAAGATCTCCCTAACCAGTGTGCCAGGATCTGGACAATAAAGATGTATCTTTTCTAGTGGCAAAAGAAGTTTAAATTGAAATGATCCCAATTTATGATGAATGCATGGAAGCGAACCTTTTATCTCTTAGACGCATTGCTGCTTAGGTAACAATGGAATTAAGGGAGTTGTTAAATCAATTGATAAACTGTATAGCTCATATATGGCAGTGTGGCTTTTGGGCAAATTCAGGCTTGTCTCATTTGTAGGTAAATCACGCTTTCTGTGTTTAGAATCACTCATTTTGTTCTGTTGTGTAGCAAGTAAGTAAAATAGTGGAAAAGAAATGGCAGTAGTGCTTTTTATCTTGCATGTTTTTGTTTGCCTCACCTACTACACTTTCAGGAGGGACAATTTAAATCCCATGGTAAACGCTATTTAATTCATTAACCTGTCTGTCCCCGTGTTTTTTTGCGCCCCGCATAATTTAGCAAAATTTGATCATTTTTTTCATAATTTCTGATTATTTTCCTTTATCATTCTTTGTTAAAATTAACAGAATCGCATAATTTCGCATTTTTGGGCTCAGTTTGCATAATTTTCAGAATTTTCTCGCTTAAAACGACAGGGACAGACCTGTCTTCACACTTTTCACTCTCTCCCTTTGGTCTCTCTCCTCAGTTGTTAGTGGGCCTCATCCCTGACCACAGTGGACCGCTGGTGATGGGGAAAGCCTCCTTGAGCCAGATCCCAATGCACATCACTCAAGCGGATGTGGCCTTCATGCCTGATGGACAGATCCTCATTGCAGCCAGTGACGGACAACTCAACTCCTCTGTTCATTGTTACATAGCAGCCCTGGCTCTCAAAAATCACGCCTGCCTTGTTAGGTGTAGCCCTTCTGCTAGCTTTTTCCTCAAGAAGCAGGTGCCTAGTGAAATCTGTTAAAGAAGTTGTGTGTTTGTTTACCTAGGCTTTGTTAATAATATGTCTTGCAATCAAAGGTTTTGTTGGTTTTCTAAAAACTTTTTCTTTAGGTTGATGGTTTGTATACCACATACATGTATGTGTTACCTTCGGAAATCGCATCATCTATGTGAAGTTCCTGACTTACTGCATAATGAGTCTCTTAGTGAGAGAGCCAAAACTTACTTTGTCCTTCCCTCTTTATGTGCTCATGATGTGTGTTGTTGCCGTAAAATGTCATATGACCATGTCATTTTTGATGTCATGCAGCAGAATAGTGGTCTTGGAGCCGGTTGGGTTTCTTGTGTTGTGTAACAGACTAACTTGTACAAGCCAAACTTCACATCCCAATGAGATGATGGAGAAAGGAAAAATTCTGTTTAACTGTGAAGAAATGTAGGCATAGAGCTGTATGGAGGCATCATTGTTCTTTAATTATTTCTTCTCAGCCTGATCCAGCAATTCAAGAACAGCACACTCCGCGACTGACGCGCCTCAGCTTCATGAACAGAGAGAGCAGCGAAGTGCTGCTGGCCTGTTGGGGCACTGCAAACTACAGCTGTGTAGAGGTAATACATGGTTCCCATGGGATTAACCTGTCACTATCATTTCTCCAAATAAGTTGAAATGTTGCTGCATTTTAGTGTGGGAAAATATCACAAGTTTCAAGTGCCACTCCCATCCTTGTCTTGAATAGGAAACTTTTTAAAGTCTTTCCATTTGAGCAAAATCTTATCACCTGTAACTGCATGGCAGTCTGATTGTTTCTAATATCAGTTGTAGCACCTGGGCTGCTGTGATACTAGCATCCACCTTTATCATCTTAGTTTAATTGATAACAGAATTTTATTATATTTGAATGGTCCTGTTTCCTCATGTATTCACTGCCTCAATATATTATTTTAAGTTTATTTCACTGCCATATATATTAGTTCCTTTTTACCACTATTGTGTTAATATTAGTATGTCAGTCGTCAACTTGGAGTAACACATTAATTGGACTTTTAGATACATGTACCTTTGTCCACCTGACCCTCATGAGTTCCCTTATCAATTATATTACTACTTGCTGAAATTAGCATATCATGTTGACGTCTTTGGTGTATAAGGTCCAAGTAACATAGTTTAATGCATTTTCTCTATTATGGGTATGTTTGCCTTCAAATGCAAATGAAGCTTAGACTTTTGTAAACAAAAAAAAGTCTTGTCGTCATCCTTTACTCTCTTTTAGGACATTTTCTCTGTCACATTTACTCTCTTTTAGGATATTTTTCTCCTGTCATTTTCATGGTTTGCATGTTTTTCCTTTTGAGAAAATTGTTAAAGGTTTAGGTATGTCCTTCAACAAAGCAAGTACGCTAAAAATATGCTCTATTTCTTATGCACGTGTATTGTTGTGTGGTCTTTGTGTTCTTGTGTCAAGCATATTAACCCCCCGGCGGCAGTGCCACTGACTGTAGTGTCCTTAGTCCATTCCCAAAGGGGGGACATTTCTCGTTCATGCACAGTAGAATTGTAAATGGGCTGATTCATGTCACGCTCATAACTGTGCCTGATCTACGACAGGGAACTGCTGCTTTTTCTTTCTTAATCCTTACTATTGTCATTTTCCTCTACTTCTTTTGTATGTTTGTCACTCTCTTGTGACCTGCTATTTCTGAGGTGCCTTGATAGTCAAAGCAGACCTTGTGCTGTTGAAGCTAGAGATGTGAGCAGAGTAAGTCTGATTCCCTGTAAAGACTTCTCTGTTGACACCCACCCCTTGGCGCTCATATGACCGTATGCAGCTAGTTGCGAGCGCCGTAAAACCTTCTACTATTTAAAAAAAAAAGTTCTTATATTAATGTTATTTAGTTATTTATATTTAATGCTGGTGAAGTCAAGCATTAATTATAACAGAATGTAATTGACAAGAAACGAGTTGTCTAACTGGAAGTTCCCCAGTGTTATTGTTAGTCTGTTGTTGTTGTCCCAGTGCTAAAGTCAGTCTTTGACATTTTGGTAATTATTAATGCTCTCGAGACCTTTTGTCCCTCCGTGGCGTTATTGAGATCTACTGACCGTTGTGAAAATTTCAAAGGTTTTTTTGTGTGTTTAGTGAGAACGTTATAAATCGATAGGTTTGGGAACAACCACAGATTGTTATAGAAAATAAATAGCCACTATTTGATAAGTCAACTCTGATTATGATGCAGACAGATGAGGGTTTTATGCAATCTTTGATTAAGAAACTTAATTTTGTTATTGGAAAAGCTTCTTCTTGACTCAAAGCTGTGAGGATGGTCCTGGGGCTGTCTTTAATATGCAGTGTTGTGTATTTATTATAGCTGATTGAAAAAAGAACGTCAACAAAGGTTTGATGTACTTTTCATATTAGATAGTAGATACTTACGTTATGATGTAGAGATGATTGAAAAAACAACAACCAAGGTTTGATATACTTTTCATATTAGATAGTAGATACCTACGTTATGATGTAGAGATGATTGAAAAAAAACAACAACCAAGGTTTGATGTACTTTTCAACTTGGATAGAAGATACCCACGTTTTTGTCGGGAGTGTACATCAATAGCTTGGACAGAATTGACCAACTGTGTTGTAACGTATCTATGTCGTAACGTGACCTTCTTGTATATAAACAACTTCCGTTACTACTCGTCCACACTGAGGTTTTGTGTTTGTTTGTGAACACGTTTCAAAATTCCCCCCCTCGGGGCAGTGCCACTGACTGTAGTGTCGTTAGGCCATTCCCAAAGGGGGGACATTTTTCGTTCAAGCACAGTAGAATTGTAAATGGGCTAATTCATCATGTCACGCTCATAACTGTGCCTGATCTGCAATAGGGAACTGCTGCTTTTTCTTTCCTAATCCTTACTATTGTCATTTTCCTCTACTTCTTTTGTATGTTTGTCACTCTTGTGACCCGCTATTTCCGGGATGCCTTGATAGTCGAAGCAGACCTTGTGCTGTTGAAGCTAGAGAGGTGAGCAGAGTAAGTCTTGATTCCCTGTAAGGACTTCTTTGTTGACACCCACCCCTTGGCGCTCATATGACCTTATGCAGTTGCGAGCGCCGTAAAACCCTCTACTAAAAAAAAAACAAAGAACGTTTCATAATTATTCGTGAAGCTGTAAACATAGGCAGAACGTAACAGTTATAACATTTGTAAAAAGATTTAGAAAGTATGATAAAGTGTGCCTCAACATTTTCATTCTCAAATCGTCCTCAATCCATCTTTTGTTTTGCGCAGGTCTGGCATCTAATAGAGCAGACGGTGCCTCTCAACCGGCGGTTCCAGAACGCAGCAGTGACTGAGTATGCCTTCAAGACAAAGCGCTGGATCCACAAGTCTTCGTTCGTTCATCGCTCAGGGTTAACCAACATTGCGCGGCCAAAGATGCCCATCAGTCGCTCTTTCAACATGGAGTCGACCAATTTCCTGTGCTACTTTGCGTGCACTTACCGAGATGGCTCAATCAAAATTGTTCACAGGCAGAGTTATCAGGTGGGTTTTAGATTGTCTGACCAGCTGGGTAGGAGGTTCCGTCGCCCTCACGAAATTAAGAAAATGTTTTCTGTAATTGAAGCTCTTGCAGTATCTTATCTGTATGTCCCCTTTATCTCAAATGCTTCTTGGACACGAAGGTCGGTTTAAGGGAAGACCGGGGTCAGCGATCCCAGGCAATATTGATGATTTTTTCCCAAACTATCCAACTTTTGTTTTTTGAGGAAAAACTTCCTTTGACATCTGTTCTATCGGGTCACAATGAAGAATGTTGAAAAAACACCCTAAATGACCTAAAAGGGCGTTTGAAAAGTGCAAATTGCTCTAAAGATCCTTGAAAAAATCCCTGTTTTTTCTGTTTTTCTCAAAATCTACTTTTTGACATATGTGACCTCCTGGGTGTAAGGAGTTTTCAAATACTACCGAAGCTAGAAGCTTCAAATTTGGCGTACAGGTGCTTTAAGATTGATTCTGGGGATCTATGTAAGGGAATTAGGAAATATTGGTAACTTGTGGAAATATTCAAATTTTTTGTAATATATACCCCAAAATTTCGTCAACTGACTCTAGGGGATCCAATGACTTTGGGCTCACTTTTTTAGTTTTAAAGATAGGTCAAAATCCTCACATGGATCCCCAGATCATATTGGTTTGTACTTGTATGCCAAATTTCAGGCTGATAATTCAATATTTACTATGAAATTCTTCTGCACTAAGAAACTGGTTTGAAAATCCAAGATGGCCGCCACAGAGACCCATTTTTCAGAAAAATCTAACAAATTCACCTCTAGTACATCCTATTTACCTATGAACTTCTTGCACCATTACATGAAAGTGAATAAAAGTCATTGGTTTAGAAAATTTGTCCTAGAGTGTACGTCTCCCCTTAATGTTGTCTTTTATTGGCACATAAAGGCCCAGTAGCAGTTAGTGAAAACTGATAATTTTTCCTTGAGCAGAATCTAGCTTTGTCCACACCATCAAATGCAGATTCCTAACCTATTTACTTTGATACCAAATTAACTTTTCTGTGATGATTGTCAAAAAAAGTTGTGGCATTTTTCTTTGTTTTATTTAACACCCCCCCCCCCCCCCCCCAAATTACTGCTTTGTCAAATTGACTGAAAAGCCGTATTTGACTCATCACAACGCAAAATCTAATGCAGCCAAATGCTTGGTATTTTTTAGAATACAGCTTGGTAAACAAGCTTAATTGTTTTAACAGAAGAGAATGTCAATATTTATTGGTACAAAGTGTACTTTTCATTCAAAATGATGCATGAACATCGCTCTTAGGCGCGCCGTCCACTCTCCACCAGTCCTGTTGCTGGCAATGACCTAAGCCGTGCTGGAGGCAAAGTCAAACATGTAGTCACATTCTGTTATGGCTTGCACTCTCCATGAATGATCACTCTGGTTTGAATTTAGCGTATTCAAATAGACCCTGTGTTCAGCTCTTATTTTCGTATGAAACTTTTAAATGATTTTTTCAGACCTAAATGGTTTTTTAATGCATTTTCATAGCAAAGTTTGGCTTGAATCTACCACAAACAGTTTTCAAGTTGAAGTTCGTTTATTTGTGACTTTCATTTTGTTATAGCTTCAAATTTTTGTGCCCCTTTTAAGCAAATCATGTGTTACAGTTCAATGCTTTACACGAATTACAGGAACACGCCCATGCGAAACTTTTTCCTGTGTTACAACTCAGTGCTCTACAAGATTCACCAAAACACACACACATGTGGAACTTTCTCATGTTGAAACTGTGACAAAGCTTAACCATATTTCTTAATGCTTTTGGTTCCAGGTGATCTACACTTTCTCCTTGGACCAGCTCATTAATTTCAAGACGGAGCCCCCAGAGAAACGGTCTCGCACTGCAGTCCCCCACCTGGTCTCCGCCGTGCAGACCAACACTGGCTGTGGCTTGGTGGGCCTGGGGGAAGGTCGTCTCTACTTGTTCCGGATGTTCAACTCTCGCGAAGGTTCGCTGCAGATGCTGCCGGTCTTTGTGGTTTTACTGCTGGAGTACACCATGTACACCGGGCTGGATTCGTGGGACGTGCTGCTGGCCGTCCGGCAAGGTCTGTCGTGTTTGTCTGGTTGTTGTTCTAGGGACAAGTCTGTTGCTTCAAAATGTGCACCGTTTGGACCTTCTTCTTCTTCTTCTTCTTCTGCCGCCTCTTCTTCTTCTCCTTCTTCTTCTTCTTCTTCTTCTTCTTCTCCTTCTCCTCCTCCTCCTCCTCCTC